ATATTTATCTTAAATAAAATGTGGTTCCTTTGATTACACGTGTATGTTAAAGTTTTTGGATTCGGGTTATGCGTTTGGACACAACAACCGAAACTCGTTGTACATTAACTAAAACGGACATATGTTTCTCTACAAGGGGCAACAAATATTCTTTTTTGCTCGCTTTTATAAAGCAGTGGATAAAAATATACGTATATGCGAAAGGCAAATTTATCTGTTTAAATGAACACCACCAATATCTCTTGCAAACACACATCGATTTACATCTTTTATTTCGCCTCCGACACAGAATTGTTTTCGTACAAAATTACACAAAAAAGCTTACTCGTTCGTTTTTAGGCATACCATTGTTACGAATTTCGAAAATTCGAAAGTACGATTCGGATTGCAGCATACTATTTCTACGATTCGTAGCAAAATCCGAATACCAAAGAGTTGCAGAATAGGGGTGTTGGAATTCTAAAAGATATTAACATTTTTGAAAAATTCCAAAATTGTTCCACTTTTCTGGACTTTTCAAAACTTTGTATTGATATAACAAAGTTTGGGAGTTTTCAATTTTTTGAAAATTTTGAAAACATCAACGTCCAAAAAGTTTTTTAATCTGCAAGAATTACGAAAATTTTTTAAATTTTCAAAAACGACGAAATATGAAAATGTTTTCAACATTCGAAAACTTTTAATTTCGTTTGATCAATTTTGTATATTCGGCACTTTTACTTAGAAAAAATTTTTAGAATTCCTACAATTCTCAAAGGTTTTGAAAAATAAAGAATTTCTAGAAATCCTTATACTGAATTGTTGGGATTTACAAAAATTTTNGGTATACAACATTTCTTGTGCATATCACTCCGGCAGCGCCGTCCACAGTATTATTGCGCAGAACCCACGTCGAAATTTGCAAAAAAGTGCATAGTGCAAACCGAGTTTATTAATAAGTTAGTGGTAGGAAATTTGAAATATTTATCTTAAATAAAATGTGGTTCCTTTGATTACACGTGTATGTTAAAGTTTTTGGATTCGGGTTATGCGTTTGGACACAACAACCGAAACTCGTTGTACATTAACTAAAACGGACATATGTTTCTCTACAAGGGGCAACAAATATTCTTTTTTGCTCGCTTTTATAAAGCAGTGGATAAAAATATACGTATATGCGAAAGGCAAATTTATCTGTTTAAATGAACACCACCAATATCTCTTGCAAACACACATCGATTTACATCTTTTATTTCGCCTCCGACACAGAATTGTTTTCGTACAAAATTACACAAAAAAGCTTACTCGTTCGTTTTTAGGCATACCATTGTTACGAATTTCGAAAATTCGAAAGTACGATTCGGATTGCAGCATACTATTTCTACGATTCGTAGCAAAATCCGAATACCAAAGAGTTGCAGAATAGGGGTGTTGGAATTCTAAAAGATATTAACATTTTTGAAAAATTCCAAAATTGTTCCACTTTTCTGGACTTTTCAAAACTTTGTATTGATATAACAAAGTTTGGGAGTTTTCAATTTTTTGAAAATTTTGAAAACATCAACGTCCAAAAAGTTTTTTAATCTGCAAGAATTACGAAAATTTTTTAAATTTTCAAAAACGACGAAATATGAAAATGTTTTCAACATTCGAAAACTTTTAATTTCGTTTGATCAATTTTGTATATTCGGCACTTTTACTTAGAAAAAATTTTTAGAATTCCTACAATTCTCAAAGGTTTTGAAAAATAAAGAATTTCTAGAAATCCTTATACTGAATTGTTGGGATTTACAAAAATTTTTCAAATTCCCAAAGTTTTGAAAGTTTAGAAAATTTTGGAATTCCACTCAAGTTATTAAAAAGGGGAAACTTCAAGAAATTAAAAACTAACAAAACTCTAGAAATTTTAAACTGCGGGGATTTTTAAATTTATGTACACGATATATGTTGACACAACATTAACCCTTTGATGTGCGAGTTCTATGTTTGCTACAAATTCTCAAGTAGCACAAAAGTCAAAAATGCACCAAAATATTTTGTGTATTTTTTGCATCGGCGTGATATACATTTTCAATATAAAAAATATGCCATTTCTAGGCGCAGTTTTTGAACAGTTTATTTCGATTCAGTGTAAAGGTTATACCGCTTTTTCGTGTATTATTTACACCTACCGTAATTATTTTTTACTGATTTTCGGTATATATATTATGCCAGTGGTATACAAGTTTTCTTGTTTCTAGAACATAAAATAAACTCCGTTGGTGTAAAATACGTACTCATAATTGGCTCAAATCATACACCATAATGGTAAATCATTTACATCATATTCTAGCATAAATATATTCCCATGAGTGTGAAGAGTACGAAATGATTCGAGGAATAAAATTTACTAATAATCAAATTTAAAATTAACTCAGACATAAAATTTACACCGAAGCTCTTTTTTAATCTGCACAACTTAGAATTATTTTTATAAATCTCAGTATTCATAATATGCAGACATGAAAATCGCGAATATATATGAATGTGAGTTCCTAATTTAAAAACGAGGTACATTCTGTCGAGTGAATTTCGGTCCTACTCCCTCTAAAAATCGAGCGCCTCAAAATTTATGAGGATTTGAAGATTTTAAATAAATCTGGAAAAAGTTATATTTTGAAAGTAGTGATTTTTTGGCCATTTT